CCCCTTTTGAGTTGTTCTCCGCCCTGAGTCCCTCCCGGAGAAGGGCGGCATACAAATAATAAAATTCAATTCAATTCAGTTTGTAACCACTTTATTATAGCAAGAGGGTGCCTTTTGCCCAGTGTTGGAGCATAGGCTATGTAGTGAAAATTCATTCCCGTCATCTCCATATAAGTCTGGGAGAAACTGGTTCATCTTCATATTTCTTGATCCGTGAGATTTTGAAAAGGCCATTTCTGAGAATAATGCCCATGGCAATGTACAAAAGCATGAGAAAGAATAAATGTGCCTTCAAAGTATGTGGTTGCATTAAAGAATGGAATAATAATTAACTTCTGTAAATTCCTCAACCATAGAAACCTATAGACAAACCAGCTGCTCTCCAAACAATGGACGAAGAAATTAACTATTGCCTGCCTCTTAAAACTAAGTGAAACTTTGTTCTGGTGCCTTATAAATGGTTCAGAAAGCTGAGGAACTTCAAAGCACAACTTCCTATTAGAAGCAGTAAATGGAATAAGATCCTGTAGATAACACTGTAATCTCCAGTACTCGAGATATAAGTAGATGTTTCTGAAGAAAGAAAGGTTCAAAGTACAGTTTAAGATTAGTAAGTTTTAGCGACATTGAATGAATCCCAAATTGGAGTTAGAATGTGTGAAAGGAGTAGCTAAAACCATGGCATTTCTTCAATGAGTTTTGCAATGCAGTGTGAGTTTCTGTATAGGTTGGATGAGCCGGATCCATTTCCTGTAGTTTTAGCTTCCTGCAGATGTATTTAATGGGTAAAGCTCTTTTGTGCCCTTCAGCTCTCCTGCTGTATTTCCATCTCCTAAGATAATGCCTTAAAAAGAAAATTGCAAGACTATGCTGGAAGGGATTATTTGGAAGGACGCACACTAATTTTGGGGGCTAAAGAGCGTAGTTATTAGCTAAGATAATTGCTTTTCGATGCAGTAAGTGAGTATTCAGTCATGGTCAATCCTATCAGGGTTTAGCCAAATCACATCAGTGATAATTGCATTTCAGGCGAATGCAATATCAAAAAAAGTGCAGTGAACATATTAGTAAGGACACTTGTTTTTTCCCCAATTTGCAGATTTGATAATGCATCTTTACTGTATTCTCCTTACACACCTTCGTTTTGCCTGTCTATCTTAAGTGCAGCGTGTTTTCAGATATTTATTTATTATGTTAGTATGGTACGTTTGCTTTGGCTGGTGCACTATGGCCATTTATTGAACAACAGATATTGGCTACGGTCAATCAAACCCTTGTCACCTTGTACAGGCCAAAAAGGGCTGCCCTTGAAGACTATCCAGGATCTACAACTGATGCATAATGCAATATCTAGTGTACTAACAGGGCAGGGGTGGGTTTCTCGCCCCGTTCCAACCTGTTCGGTTGGAACGGGGCCGGCGGTGTCCTCGTGCACGCGCGCAGTGCCCGCATGCATACTAGCGTCTGTGTGATGCTCCAGCTGCTCCTGGAGGATCGCGCAGGCGCTGTGTGCATCCTGCACATGTGTGGAAGCGCAGAACTCGTCAAAACCGGTAAGGAGCGCAGGCGGGCGGGTGGGCCCTTCGCCGTTCCCGGAAGTAAGTTACTTCCGGGTTCGCCGACCAACCGGTTCGCGGGGACCGCCGCGAACCGGTTGAAACCTATCCCTGTAACAGGGGTAACCTGTTATTGCCATGTAAGACTGGGACTGTAGGAATTGCATTAGTTGCTGGTTTGTTTCCAGGAACAATTGAGTGACTAATTAGCTACCTATCTTGGAAGAGCACATTGTAGAAGGCTATAGTTATAAGAATTTGGGCACCGTCCAAAGTAACTCAAGTGAGTCTAAGTCTATAATCCTATATAAATTCCAATCATACACTCTTTATCAGTTTAGGGTTGAGATATAATTCCACAGATTTTCACTTTGATGTTTACTTCTTGCAAAAAAAAATAAAAAAATTAAGATAGATGAATACCATAGTTTTACTTCCGTGGTGGCCCTTTGGGTTACATCCTAATCCTAAACTGGTTTATTAGAAGCTCGGTTTCATTGGTTTCAACAGACCATATACTCGATATAAGATAGGAGGGATTGCATCCTTAGTCAGAAATCAGGGCACTGAACCCTTCAATAAGTTTCAGTGAATAAGAAGTATGCATAGCATTTCCTCGTATACCCATCTTAATCCCTTCCATTCCATTTGTAATTGGTATGCTATCAACTTGGTACTTGATATAATTTTGTGTGTTAGCAGAAGGTTATACCCAGCAACTGCTGAGATAGCTTAGACTTTGCTCTAATTCAGGTTTTGCCACAGCCTTTCATCTCAAATTAATCTTCCTTCCCATTTATCCTACAGGTCCTGTGCCTAGAAGTGGCTGTCTGTTGTCTCAGGTCAACAGTTCACATCCAGTCCAAGCCTTGCTCGAAAGCTTTACTGTCTTATCTGGCTGTGCAAGCAAAGGAACTGCTGGATTGCCACAAGAAGTTCACATCCTCAATGTTAGGAATGCAGAAGATGCTGGCCACCATGAAAGAGAGGTATGGATGGAATCATTCTGCGTCTTGGCCTTAAACAATCACTATCTTTCCAAATCTGTTGCCTTCTCACTGTCTTGGAGTCAACTCTCATAATCCCCCACAATATTTTATTTGTTTGGTTCATAATTCTGAGTTATAAGGTGGAATCCAACTTTAGTGGAGTAGATTGATAAGGCTGCTTTACTTTAGAGAGAGGAGGCTTCAAACAACTTTGCCTAAGATGACAACACAACTATTATCTTGTTATAGTAGGAGCCCTGGTGGCGCAATGTTAAAGTGCAGAACTGCAGCCTAACTCTGCCAACAATCTAGAGTTCGATCCTGACAGGACTCAAGGTTGTCTCAGCCTTCCATCCTTCCGAGGTTGCTAAAATGAAGACCCAGATTATTGTGGGCAATATGAAAATAATACTTACATTGTAAGTTGCCCAGAGAGTGCTGGTAAGCACTTCCCTTTTTTTAAACGATCCTGTAGTCCCTAACCTGGGGTACAGTCAGTGGAACTGGATGTAGCTGAGTGTTTACTGGCTGCATTCCCTTCCTGACACCTACATGGAGTTCGCAGCACATTTTTGTGTGATGTGTGATTTGTGCACTAGAGGAGAAACATCTGCTACCTAGGATTGAACTCTCAACCTGTGGGGTGGTATAGTAGTCTAAATGCTGTTGCTATTATTATATGGCTGAGGAAATAGCAAGGTACAAAAATTTAATTTCAGAGATGCTGGCATTATCATATAGATAATGATAGTAGGGGTGAAATGCTACCGGTTCGGGCTGGTTTGCTCAAACCGGTAGTAAAAAAAGCTAAGGGTTTGCCTGAACCGGTAATAAAAAAAATGCTACTGGTTTGGGTGAACTGGTAGTTCTGATGATCACATGTGCGACAATCAGCTGCGCCGCACGATTTATATTCGCTAGAAATCGCGTGGCATAGCTGATTGTTGGAACCTTTTTTTAACTTTTTAAAGCATTTTTTACTACCAATTTGCCAGAACCCGTGGTAAAAAATGCTAAAAAAAGTTTTAAAAAGTTCTGACGATCAGCTGGGCGACAATCCGCTGTGGTGCGCAATTTGTATTCGCTAGAAAGCAGAAAGTGCATGTTTGGCGCGCATGCGCGTGAAGCGAACCGGTAGCAGACTTCAGAGCATTTCACCTCTGGATAATAGGAATGAATAAGAATGCCGGGAAGAAGAAAAGAGAGAGTAATTCTTCAGAATTATGACTAGCAGCCATGTCAGTCAATGAACTGTGCAATAGGTCCGCTGTTTCCAAGCCAATTTGCTTTCCAGCAAATCTGTTTAGAATTGTATTTTTGGTATGAAACATTCAGCCTGCCTAATCCACACACAGAAGTAATAGATGTTGCTTGCAGGACTGTATTCTCACAGAAACATTTGTCACCAGGGATCTTTAGGATGGGCTGAGATACAGACCGAAATCTGTGGGAATTAACAGTGATTTGCATTGTAGAAAACCGAGCCTTTCCTCATCTTGCTGATCCCCTGGAATGTTGCAAAGTTGGAATTTAACCTATGTAGAGGTTACTGTGTCATGGAAACCCGACCTAGTTCCTCTCTCTAAATATTTTGAATTTTGAAGCAAATCTAAGTCTGTATAGTAAAGTCCTCTTGTTTTCCCGCTACCGTGGCGCAGATTCTGAACGCTCAGCTTTGTTATCTGATCGGAGGCAGCTACCACGTTTCAGAATCATTACCTAAGATAGGTCTCTGAAAGCTTCCCAAGTAATCCATCCTTCCTGTCTTTTCTGACAATGTTTTATGGCACATTCCATGCCTTCGGTTTTTCCTTTGCTTCCTGCTTCTTCATAAAAGCCGAGTTCCTGTACCTTTTGCGATGGCCCCTGAGAAAATGAGCAGGAAGTTAGGAAAAGACTTCATGACAACAGGGGAAATCGTAAGTGTATAAACAACAAGTTTAGGCCAGTTTTTCCCTTATGTTCCAGAAGCCTGGAAACAAAGCAGAGCAAAGGTTATCATTAACCTTTTTATTTTATTTTTTTGTTTCTACACAAAAAAAGAGCCCCACGTTTTTCAGTCCCCTTCAGCTTATACCGAGAACAGTGTTACTTTGTCCCTCGTGACATTTCCTGCACTGGACGATGCATCCGGCAAAGGTCAAGATACGTTGACTGAACAATGCTTCGAGCATCTTGGAGGATAAATAGCACTTTTAATTTTATTTTTGATTTGTACCTTGACTAACATGGAAAAATAAGGCAAGAGTAAATAAGAGTAGAAAAGGATGATGGAGGGAGGATAGAAAGTTGGAGGGTGGTAGAAGAAAGAGGTGTATGGAGAGCAGAAGAGCTATAATGGGTTTCTATGACACAGTAACCTCTACATA